CTCTCTCTCTCTCTCTCTCTCTCTCTCTCTCTCTCTCCTTTCTGCAGTTTGAATTCAGGGCCTTCAGCGTACTGGGTAGGCACTCTACCACTTGAGTAATGCCCCCAGCCCCAGCATGATATATTATTGCTCTATGCTGCTGTTTCTAGAATGGGAAAGACTATATGTATATTGTTGTATCTGCAAAACCTTCTTTTGACAACATACTTAGGAAATTCATTCCAGGTGCTGGTGGTTTACATCTATAATCTCAGTTACTCAGAAGCTCAGATCTGAGGATCAAGATTTGAATCCAATCCAGAAAGCAAAATCTGTGAGACTCTTATCTCCAATCAGCCACCAAAAAATATGGAAATGGAGCCGTGGCTCAAGTGGTAGAGTGCCAGCCTTGAGCAAAAAAGCTCAGGGATAGTGCCCTTGTCCTGAGTTCAAGTTCCAGGACCAGAAAAAAGAAAGAGGGAAGGGAGGAGGGAGAGTGGAAGGGAGGAAGGAAAGAAGGAAGGAAGGAGGGAGGGAGGGAAGGAAGGAAGGAAGGAAGGAAAATTGAGAAACCTGGTCAGGCTTGGAGGAAAAGAGGACTGGAGGGGAGTTGCGTGGAATGGGAAGACAGAAGCTCTTCACCTACACCCTGAATTTAGGTATTTATTTAAATACCTATTTAAATAGATAGAAACACATTTTGAGCAAATTACGTGGATGCAAGTCCCCACCCTGATCCTCTACAACAGTCAGAGTCCTTTCTGGAGTACATGCAGAGCAGCAGTTACTGTACTAGAATGCACAGAGCTTCCAGGTGCCACCAACCTTATCACCCTATGCTTTCTTGAAAGTTTGTTACCTCAGTGTGCAGATGACAAAGCTGACACTAGCTGCAAGCACCTCTCCACCCCAGACAGGTTTGCATGCATAAAGGTGGAGCAGAACTCCCACATGGTACAATGTACCCCCTGTCCCTGGGCCCCTGCACCCTTGCTCTTGCCTTCTTCCCAGCTAGGCCTGTGGATCTAGAGTGCCCAGCACTGGCTGGCCACTGCACTTTCCCAGAAGCAAGAGGTGTGCGTGTGCCATGCTTTATAGAATTAAGCCACCTTGGGCAGAGTACCTCTCATAGACTGTGGGATGGAGAGAGCAGGGTGAGTGTGCATGCACGTGAGTGTGTTTGTGTGAGGTTTCATATGCCAAACAGGTTTGTGATTCTGTACCATGCATGGGGGCCAAAAGAGTATCCAAGGGTGTGTGTGCATGTGTGCATGTATGCAGCACTGCAGTCCAGTCCTTGACTGGATTCGGCTCTTCTGTCAGCTCTTGGGGAAACCACCATGACCACCCTGCCCCAGTGCTTCAGTCTCTCCTGGGCCCCAATGTCTTGGACATAATGTGGTCCCTGTACCTCTCTACCTCCCCATCATATTATTTCATTTTGTGCCAGTCCTAAGTCATGAACTCAGAGCCTGGGCATTGTCCCTTAACTTCCTTTCTCAAGGCTGGTGCTCTACCACTTGAGCCATAGCTCTACTTTTAGCTTTGTGGTGGTTAATTGAAGATAAGATTCTTATAGACTTTCCTGCTGGGTGGCTTTCAACCACGACCCTCACCTCTCAATCTCACTTCTCATCTTCAGAGGCTGCCATGGTATTGACTCAACCATTCGTTTATGCAATGGTGAGGCTTTTGTTCTGTGTCCATGTGGGAGAGCCACTGGGCATGTGTGGGAGAGTGCCTAAGCATTTTGGGATGGCAAGGCTAGAGCAGTAAACCTCACTGTTTAGATCCTGGGGACCTATTGTCTTTTTTCCAGTTGTCTCTTCCCAGGCCTCCTGCTGAAGATGGTCTAATTCAGTGAGAAAGTGCAGCCCATCCCTCCTGTGGAGGCCCAAAGTCAACCAGAATGCTTTTCCTCCTTGACCTGGTATCAGCTGAAAGCTTCTGCCCCTTGACTGGATAAGACATGGGCTGCTTTGGGGGTACTTCCTGTTTCCAGTTAATCACTTGGAGCTGGGGGGGGGGGAGTCTCTGGAATTCTTGTCCTCCTAAATGATCCGGAAGTCAACTCAGAATTGCCAAACCATGGCTGACTCAGGTGAGCTGCTTCCCCCTCCACAAGCTTCCACTACCATGATGGGCTGCTTCGCCTCAGGCCCAAAGTAATGGAGTCAGTGGATCTTGGATGCAAACTGCTGAAACCTGAGAACATGGAGCAGGAGCCTGGGAAGACAATGAAGCATTATGGTCCTGTTCAGTAGAATCTGAGAGTTGCAGCCTCAGGGACTAGGCCCTAGCACCTGTGACCTAGACTGTAGATTTTTTTTTTTTGGGTCCGGTCATGGGGCCTGAACTCTGGGCCTGGGCGCTGTCCCTCAGCTCTTCAGCTCAAGGCTAGCGCTCTACCACTTGAGCCACAGCGCCACTTCCGGCTTCTTTCTTTTTGCTTATGTGGTGCTGAGGAATCGAACCCAGGGCCTCAGGCATGCAAGGTAAGTGCTCTACCACTGAGCCACCTTCCCAGCCCCCCATGGTCTCTTTATCTAATGAAATGGTAGCAGGTGGGGAAGCAAAACCAAGAGCCAGAAAATCATCCAGGGCAAGGGAAGCCCTGAATCAGTCTTCATCAGGACGCATCTCCCCACATTTTGAGATTACCACAGGCAACGTGGACTTATTGTTGGAGCCTGTGGGAACATCCGCCATTTTTCTCATCACTAGAAGTCCATCAATGATTTTTCCAAACACCACATGCTTCCCAACCAGCCAATCACATTTAGAGCAGGTGATGAAGAACTGACAGCCATTTGTTCTGGGACTACTGTTTGCCATAGAAAGTAGGCCTGGAGCAGAGTGTCTAAGTTTAAATTTTTCATCTGCAAATGGCCCCTGGTAAATACTGGCAACTCCTGTACCATTTCCATTAACAAAATCTCCACCCTGAATCATGAAATCCTTTATGACCCTCTGGAAAGTGCTCCCTTTGTTTGTTTGTTTGTTTTTGGGTCCAGTCGTGGGGCCTGAACTCTGGGCCTGGGTGCTGTCCCTCAGCTCTTCAGCTCAAGGCTAGCGCTCTACCACTTGAGCCACAGCACCACTTCCGGCTTTTTTCTTTTTGCTTATGTGGTGCTGAGGAATCGAACCCAGGGCCTCATGCATGCAAGGCAAGCGCTCTACCGCTGAGCCACCTTCCCAGCCTCGAAGTGCTCCCTTTTTATCCTATTGGAACCCCATCTTTTCTTAATTCTCCAGTGCAGGAATGCCTAAAGTTCTCAGCCGCCTTAGGCACAACGTCTGAAAACAGCTCAATCTTCATGTGTCCAACCTCGTCAAAGACCATGACGGGGTTGATGCCACCGCCATGGCTCTGACCCGGAAGCAGGACTGAGCTTGTTTTTTTTTTTTTTTTGCCAGTCTTAGGGCCTGGGCACTGTCCCTGAGCTTCTTTTGCTCAAGGCTAGCATTCTACCACTTGAGCCACTGTGCCACTTCCAGCTTTTTCTGTTTATGTGGTACTGAGGAATCAAACCCAGGGCTAGGCAAGCACTCTACCACTAAGCCACATTCCCAGCCCCCCTGAGATTCTTTTGCTCAAGGCTAGTGCTCTACTACTTAAGCCACAGCACCACTTCCAGCTTTTTCTGAGTAGTTTATTGGAGATAAGAGTCTCAAGGACTTTTCTGCCTGGGTGGGCTTTGAATGGCAATCATGAGATTTCAGCCTCGAGCTAGACTGCATATTTTTACACAGGACAAAATCTCTAGGGAGGACAAATAAATACTGAGGACAGAATACTAGCCACTGGTACTGCACATGGGTGAAGGGAGCTCTGGGGAAAACTGCTTGAACTTTCTGCCAGTCTGGAGGGATGGGAACTCAGGATTCGAATTAAGTTCAATTATATGACCAAAACAAATTGACAGACCAACCTTAAAATTCCAAGTCCCTTCTAAACTCTCCAAATACAAGGTCTTTCTCTCCTTACCTTCCACTGATGATTCTGGGAAGAGAAAGAATAGAGCTTAGTGGTATCAGCGCAGGCCTGGAGCCACAGTCTCTGGGTATGAATCCTCAGCCCTACCTCTGACTTGTCTATCAGCTTCACGCATGCGTATCAGAAAAGGTTCAAGAGAGTTTCTTTCTGTCAGTCATGGGTCCTGAACTCTGGGCCTGGCACTGTCCTTCAGCTCTTCAGCTCAAGTCTATCCTCAGTGCCACTTCCGGCTTTTTCTGCTTATGTGGTGCTGAGGAATCGAACCCAGGGCCTCATGCATGCAAGGCAAGCATTCTACCACTGAGCCACCTTCCCAGCCCTTTTGTTTTGTTTTTGCCAGGCCTGAGGCTTGAACTCAGGGCCTGGGCACTGTCCCTGAACTTCTTTTTGCTTAAGCCTAGCAATCTACCACTTGAGCTATAGGACCACTTCCAGCTTTTTCTGTTTATGTGATACTGAGGAATCTAATCCAGGGCTTTATGCATGCTAGGCAAGCACTCTACCACTGAACCACATTCCCAGTCCTCTTCCTTCCTTCCTTCCTTCCTTCCTTCCTTCCTTCTTTCTTTCTTTTTCTTTCTTTCTTTTGTTGGTAGTGGGCCTTGAACTCAGGGCCTGTGTGCTGCCGTCTCTCACCTTTTTCCCTCAAGGCTAGCACTCTTATCACTTTGAGCCACAGTACCACTTTCAGATTTTTGGTGGTTAATTGGAGATAAGAGTTTCACAGGCTGGGTGTCAGTGGCTCACGCCTGTAATCCTAGCTACTCAGGAGGCTGAGATCTGAGAATCGTGGTTCAAAGCCAGCCCGGGCAGGAAAGGGCATGAAACTCTTTATCACCAATAAACCGCTAGAGGTGGCTCTGTGACTCAAGTGGTAGAGCGCTAGCCTTGAGCTGAGGAGCTGAGGGATAACACCCAGGCCCAGAGTTCAAGCCTCATGACCGACAAAAACAAACAAACAAACAAAAAACCCCCCACCAGTTTCACAGACTTTTTGCCCAGGCTGGCATTGAACTGCAATCCTCAGATTTCAGGCATCTGAGTAGCTAAGATTACAGGCATGAGCCACCAGTGCCTGGTAAGGAGTTTCTTAACAAGATTCTTAGCAGAGCCGGGCACTGGTGGCTCATGCCTGTAATCCTAGCTACTCAGGAGGCTGAGATCCGAGGATCATGGTTCAAAGCCAGCCCGGGCAAGAAAGTCTGTGAAACTCTTATCTCCAATAAACCACCAGAAAACCGGAAGTGGCGCTGTAGCTCAAGTGGTAAAATGCTCACCTTGAGGTGAAGAGCTGAGGGAAAGCGCTCAGGCCCAGAGTTCAAGCCCCACTACCTACCAAAAAAAAAAAAATCTTAGCGGAAGTATGGGCAGCAGGACTGGTTAATATCAAGGGATGAGCCATAACCCCAGATCAGTAACAATGGGCTGCTTACCTCTAAAGTGTCCTAGGGATGGGAGAGAATGGCTTCTAGAATCTGGACAGAAAGGGCCCCTTAGCAGTAGCAAGGACCTCAGGGAATTCACAAGGTGGGGGAGTTAGGCATGTACATGCCTCATTCTCATGTTATTCTCATGGGTGCCAAACCCTGCAGAAGCCACTGGCCAAAGCCAAGGCCTCTGACCTAGAAGCAAAATGGTAGAGAAGAATCTAGAGGTCATAGTTATATAAAACAAGCTCTAGAGCTCTGGTTTACCAACCTGTCACTCCTACCTCCCTTCTAGGCCATCTGGACAGGAAAACAGACTTGTACATGAGGGACTGAATGCTATTTGTTCACACATGAAGTATTCAGCAACCAAGTTTAACTGTCTGCTTGTAGATCGTAGTGATTATCATTTCAAATTTAGCCTTTCATTCTCTCTAGCCCCACCCCATTTCAAACTTATTTCTTCACTCAACTACCCAACTGCTCAAGTTGGAACAACACTAATTCCCTTTGCCTTGTCTTTTTCCGCCCCCCCCCCAATCCTGGGGCTTGAACACTGTCCCGGAGCTCCTTTTTGCTCAAGGCTAGCAATCTACTACTTTGAGCCACAGCACCACTTCCAGCCTTTTCTGTAATTAACTGGAGATAAGACTATTAGGGACTTTCCTGCCCTGGCTGGCTTTGAACTTCAATCCTCATATCTCAGCCTACTAAGTAGTGTAAGTGTGAGCTACTTACCTTTGGCCTTTTCTGTCTTTGTATGCCTCCCTAATCCTTTGGCTGAAGACAAGTCCCACTTAGAAGTTAACTGCTAAATCTTTCCTTGGATTCATAACATCTACACGGCCTTTGTAACATCTTCTTTTTCTTAACTGGTCACAGGAGACCAAAGTCCCTTGCCACATCCTAGAGAAGACACATGCCCTTTGCTGATGAAGATACCACTCCCTGTGGCCTCACAACCTCTTGCTTCCTGTAACTGCCCTTCTTGTCTCGTGACCTCAGAGATATAAAGGTGTTTTTTTTTTTTTTTTTGGGGGTCTGGTCGTGGGGCCTGAACTCTGGGCCTGGGCGCTGTCCCTCAGCTCTTCAGCTCAAGGCTAGCGCTCTACCACTTGAGCCACAGCGCCACTTCCAGCTTTTTTTTTCTTTTTGCTTATGTGGTGCTGAGGAATCGAACCCAGGGCCTCAGGCTTGCAAAGCAAGCACTCTACCACTGAACCACCTTCCCAGCCCCGAGATATAGAGCCTCCTCTAACTTCTTTGGAGCCTGCCTGAAATAAACCTGATTCAAATAAACCTACCAACATTTGTCTCCTGAATACTGATACTCAACTGGGGAACAACCTGAACATCTGACCTCAGCAAAGTCAGACTCCTTAGTGTTGTCCTCCAGGAAATGGGATCCTCCCTACCTCCACCCCCACCATTTCATTCTGTCTGCTTTTCTCCAAAATGTATCTCAAAGCCAACTCCCTCTCTCCACCCCTACTGCTACCAGGTTAGTCCATCATCTTCCCACCTGGATTACTCCTGAGGCCTCCCACTGCTCTCCCAGCATCAGCCCTAAAGCATTAGTTGTACTATATATAGTACAAGGCCCTACTCTGGTCCCCAGTTCACCATGGGCCGTGCCCTTCCATGCCAAGCCACATTACTGTAGCTCTTCCTTGCTTTGACACCAACCTTTTTCTTCCTCAATGCCTAGACCTAAGCAGGGAGCCAGTGGTTCACACCGGTAATCCTAGTGACTCTGGAGACCAAGATCTGAAGATTGCAGTTTGAAGACAGCCCAGGCAGGAAAAGTCCGTGAGACTCTTATCCTCAATTAACCACACCAAAAAAGCTGGAAGTGGGCTGATGGCTCAAGTGGTAGAGCACTAGCCTTAAAGCAGCTCAAGGATAGCACCTAGGACCTGAGTTCAAGTCCCAGGACTGGCAAAAAAATAAAAAAGCCTCGAGGGCTGGGAAGGTGGCTCAGTGGTAGAGTGCTTGCCTTGCATGCCTGAGGCCCTGGGTTCGACTCCTCAGCACCACATAAGAAAAAGCCGGAAGTGGGGCTGAGGCTCAAATGATAGAGTGCTAGCCTTGAGCTGAAGAGCTGATGGACAGCACCCAGGCCCAGAGTTCAGGCCTCACAACCGGAAAAAAAAAAAAAAAAAAGCCTTGACATGTATTATTACCCCAGAAGAGATCCCCTGCAGCCAGGTGCCCATGGTTCACACCTGTAATCCTAACTACTCAGGAGGCTGAGATATGAGAATGGCGGTTTAAAACCAGCCCAGGCAGGAAAGTCCATGAGACTCTTATCTTGAATAAACTACCAGAAAACCAGAAGTGGCGCTGTGGCTCAAGTAACCGAATGCTCACATTGTGCTGAAATGCTAAGGGACAATGCCCAGGCCCAGAGTTCAAGTCCCATGACTGACAAAAAGAGGGAGAAAGATTCCTTGCTCCTTTGTTCTGCTGGTTCCTTTTCAGACTTCAAATTTCAGTTGAAATATGATCACATCAGGCTGGAAGCACAGCTCAGTGTTAGATTACCTGCCTAGCAAGCAGGAGGCCCTGAATTCAAATCCCAGCATTGTCAATAAAATAAAATAATCACATCAAAGAAGCTCATATCTCTAATCCTAGATACTCAGGTGGCTGAGATCTGGAGATCGAGGTTGGAAGTCGATCTGGGCAGACAAATCCATGAGACTCTTTTTTTTTTTTTCTTTTGGTCCAGTCGTGGGGCCTGAACTGTGGGCCTGGACACTGTCCCTCAGCTCTTCAGCTCAAGGCTAGCACTCTACCACTTGAGCCACATGCTTATGTGGTGCTGAGGAATCGAACCCAGGGCCTCATGCATGCAAGGCAAGCGCTCTACCGCTGAGCCACCTTCCCAGCCTCGAAGTGCTCCCTTTTTATCCTATTGGAACCCCATCTTTTCTTAATTCTCCAGTGCAGGAATGCCTAAAGTTCTCAGCCGCCTTAGGCACAACGTCTGAAAACAGCTCAATCTTCATGTGTCCAACCTCGTCAAAGACCATGACGGGGTTGATGCCACCGCCATGGCTCTGACCCGGAAGCAGGACTGAGCTTGTTTTTTTTTTTTTTGCCAGTCTTAGGGCCTGGGCACTGTCCCTGAGCTTCTTTTGCTCAAGGCTAGCATTCTACCACTTGAGCCACTGTGCCACTTCCAGCTTTTTCTGTTTATGTGGTACTGAGGAATCAAACCCAGGGCTAGGCAAGCACTCTACCACTAAGCCACATTCCCAGCCCCCCTGAGATTCTTTTGCTCAAGGCTAGTGCTCTACTACTTAAGCCACAGCACCACTTCCAGCTTTTTCTGAGTAGTTTATTGGTCAGGCCCAAAGTAATGGAGTCAGTGGATCTTGGATGCAAACTGCTGAAACCTGAGAACATGGAGCAGGAGCCTGGGAAGACAATGAAGCATTCTCTTCAGCTCAAGGCTAGCACTCTACCACTTGAGCCACAACACCACTTCCGGCTTTTTTCTTTGTGCTTATGTGGTGCTGAGGAATCAAACCCAGGGCCTCATGCATGCAAGGCAAGGGCTCTACCATTGAGCCACCTTCCCAGCCCATCCATGAGATTCTTTTTTTTTTTGGGGGGGGTCTGGTTGTGGGGCTTGAACTCTGGGCCTGGGCACTGTCCCTCAGCTCTTCAGCTCAAAGCTAGTGCTCTACCACTATGAGCCACAGCACCACTTCCGGCTTTTTTCTTTTTACTTATGTGGTGCTGAGGAATCGAACCCAGGGCTTCATGCATGCAAGGCAAGCACTCTATCACTGAGCCACCTTCCCAGCCCCCATCCATGAGATTCTTATCTCCAGTTAACTAGCAAAAATCCAGACGTGGAGGTGTGGCTCAGTTAGTAGAACACAAGTCTTGACTAGAAAAAGCTAAACAACAGCATAAGACACTAACTTCAATCCCCCAGTACTGCCGCACATGCGCGCCACACACACACACACACACAAAGAGGTCCTCCCAACCACTTTGTTGTCTAAAATAAATTTTCCTCTCTACCTACTGTCCTCTCTTCTCTGTCCAGCACTCCTTAATAGCATTCAAGTTGGAGGTATACATTTATTTCTTTGAGCTATACATGTATTTCCCACCCACAGAATTTATAGTATAATAGTTATATATAATAATTTGTTTATTTCCCTGTTACACTGTAGAGTCTGTAGATGAAAAAGGCCTGATTTGCTTCACTCATCACTATATCCTCAGGGCCTGGCAAGGAGGAGGTGCTCAACAAATACTGGACAGTGGTGACCAGGCAAGTGACATACACACACACACACACACACACACACACACACACACACATGCCACTTATATATGTTGCTGTATATATGCTGCCATACAGAAAAGCCTTTGAGAATCCTACTGTTTTGTGAGGCTAGAGTTAGAATTCCCACAGGACTGCCCCACACCATCCCAGTTCCCGAATTCCAGAGAAATAAGCACTAAATGTCATGGTGGTCGGCCCAAAACATTTTTCAGGGGGAATTTACACAAAGTGGGGGGCTACAGTGCTCCCCATGGTGGACAGTAAGACAAGGAACATTCTGCCTGGGCATGACTACAAGGAGGAAGTTGGGCTGTGGAGTTTGCTAGGGCCGAAGGAATGTGGCTGGGATGGGACCGGACGCTTATGTGTTCAGAGATAGCGCTGGTTAACAACTGAAACCAGTTTATCAGTGCCTGGGAAATGTTCATGTCCTCAGCTTGAGTTCACGGAGTGGTTTTTCATATTTCTGGGTCAGGATAGAGAAACAATTGGGGAACCTGAGAGATCCAGTGTACTATCAATGACTTGCCCCTTTCTTTGGACTTTAGTCGCTATCCTAAAACCCCTGCTTCCTCAATGCATCTAACTCACTTCAATGACGTATAAAAGGGGGTAGGAGAATGGGGATGATATCACTGGCAAAAATAAGCATTATCTGATGACCAGATAGTGAGAATGAATTGAAAATTGATCATCAAAAATGGGTGAGAGAGCCGGGCGCTGGTGGCTCACGCCTGTAATCCTAGCTACTCAGGAGGCTGAGATCTGAGGATCTCGGTTCAAAGCCAGTCCGGGCAGGAGAGACCGTGAGACTCCTATCTCCAATAAACCACCAGAAAACCGGAAGTGGCGCTGTAGCTAAAGTGGTAGAGCACTCGCCTTGAGCTGA